AATGAAAAAAAAAACTAGAAGTTAAGTATGCTTTTAAAAAATTAAAAGTTTAAATATTAAAATAGACTAAAACTAATAATTTAATAACCAAATGCGTAGTTGCACGCACACCAAAAGTCGCTTAACTATGTTCAAATGATATTTTGGTCAACAGAATGGTCATTAAATTGATTGAACCATCACAAAAAATGGTCACTGCAATGTTATAATAATTGTAAAAAGGATAGATATTTTGTGATAGTTCAATAAATTTAATGATCATTTTGTAACTTTTAAAAGTTCAATAACCAAAACAATCATTTTAGTATAGTTCAATGACCTATGGTGTACTTTATCCTTTCAATTCTTACATAAGGAAAACAAGCATATGACAATTCAATACATTCGATTTCGCAGGACATCAAGATCGAAATGAGTACACAATTGTTTTGGGACAATGTGAATACTAACACAACATCGTGACATCAAACCCGAACGAACCGAACACATCGAACAAAATTTTTCGTAGTTTCGATACCGTAAACGACTAATATGAGTCATATTAAAAAGGTCCAGGTATAATTATCACACTAATCCTATAAACCCCTTCAATGCGATCAACAAATGAGTCTCTCAAGCTAGCCTCTAACACGGAACCGACCCTAATTCACAACCACAATTTAAATCTATGTATCGTTCGAAAAATAAATTGTTTTACCCCTCTGGAAGCTATTCTCGAAATCGAAACATCCACAGACTTGCAACGACTTTTCAGATGGGATCCGGGCATTTCATGGGTCGAGATGCCTAATTGTTTTACCCCTCCTATGCTCGTATTAAAATTGTTTAAAAAGTTCTCTTCTAACATAGAACTAAATGCTACCACAACACTACGAAAATTGTTTAAGAAACCGGAAAGGTCCATAGCTACCAATTCGCGACAACTGCAGAAAACCACTCCTACTGGGTCAAGTTTAACTATGAATGTGAGGGAGACATTTAGAGATGGGTATGAGTTGGGTTTTTAGTCCACCTGACCCGACCCGACCCGAGAATAATGAATCCTCTACCCGAAACCTGACTCAACCCGACCAAAACAAGATTTCATCTGAACCTGACTGATATATAACTTAAAAACTCTACCCGACCTGAAATAATAAAAAATATATTTTTATTCAATAAAAATAGTGACTTAATTGAAAAAAATAATATATAGAGTGTATTATTATAATTATTCATAAATATATAAGGTAAATTTATATATATATTTTGGACGGGTAAGATATTTTTAACCTTAAACACGAATCCGACCCGAACATCACATAAAAAAACCCAATCCAACCTGACCAGATCCGATCGGGTCGAAACTCATTGAATTCGAGTCACATGCTCATCCCTAAAAACAATACAAAAGTGGGGAAAATTGATAGTCAACTACGATTCTCGTCAATTCATGCCCACAAAGGACGAGAAATCGAATATCATCCATGGCGATTTCCAATTCACGTGTATCCAACTATTTCTGAAGGAATTAACTCCGAGCGACGTGGGAAAGCTGAACAGGCTCGTGATCCCAAAGAAACATGCCATCAAACACTTTCCGTGCATTCAAAACAATCAACAATGGTGGATACGAAGATCTCGAGCTTGTTTTCTATGACGAATCGGTGAAAACTTGGAAGTTCCGGTATTGTTATTGTCGGAGTAGCCAAAGCTTCGTGTTTACAGGAGGATGGAGTCGATTCGTGAAGGATAAGAAACTAAGCGAAAGAGATGTGATCGCGTTTTACGCATGCGAATGCCACAATGAACAAGAACATGGTGTGAGTTTCTTCTAGATTGATGTGAATTATAACACTGGTGAAGGGGAAATAGAGAGTTTAAGAGAGAGGAATCATCGTCAGTTCATCATAATCAGGGCGATTTGCATGTAGATTTGGGATTGAATTTGGAGAAGAAACATTTCTGCAAATTAGATAATAATTATAAATTTGACAACTGAACTTTACTCTCTCTTATTACACTCATTGTACTTTAAATTTTTTTTAATTTCCTTAATGAACTAATATATGGGGTTTTTTTGGTCACTCGGCCTTTAATAGTTAACGGCGTTAAAACGAGTTATATAGATGCAAAACGACCTCTCTACACAAAGTAAACAAAATCAATTCTATTTCCCTCTTGTTCGGGTTCTGCAGGAGGCAGAACTGAATATTCTCGACCATTAAACATTGAACGCTCACACTCCTGACATTTCTAGTGCTCGAACACGGGACCTAAAAAAATAACAATAATTTTATTACCACCGAGGTCGTTTGGTTCATACACGTTAGCTGCCTTTACCTACATAGAGATGAGTTACCCTATATTAACAAATCAAAATTACAATAAGACACATGCATGTAACCGAAGAGGTCGTACTAGCATGGTTTTTAGAACCTGACCGGTCAGCGAACCGACCGTGCTACCAGTTCAATGGTTCAACCGATCGAACCGGTTAGACCGGTCGAATAACGGACGACGTCATAATTATTTAAAAAATTAAATAAAAATACCAAAAACATTTAATAAAAAACTAAAAACATCCCCACACCAAAATTCCATCATTCATTACTTGATTTATTTCTAATAAAAATCTCCAAACATTACACATTAAATCCAAAAAAAAGTTTATTAACCTTCAAAATAAAAATTATAACTTTTTTAATTTTTTCTTGATGGCCGGTTCTTAGCGGTTTCGGTCTGGTCCGATTCGAATGGTTCACAGTCGGTTCAACGGTTCCTTGCGGTTCACTAATAGCGGTTTACCGGGTTAAAATGAACCGGACCTGACAACGGTTTCCGATTGAACCGGCCGGTCCGGTCCGGTTTTCAAAACACTGCATACTAGCCTAAGGCCTTGGCATCTTATTCTTATGTATCTATTTAAACAAGCTTGCACTGAAATTCTGCCAGAAGAATTCAGGGGGAGAAGTACACACATACGATAGTCCACAGATTAAACAAGTTATATGATAGTCCACGGTCTCTATACTGTTATTCAGCCTTCATGATTCATGCAGTTATATAGAATAGGATTAAACACTCCATTAACACACCATCTGAACGCACCGAGAAGGCAAACGAACACTCATATTCCATATCTTCCCACGTTTTGAGTTTTGACTTGATGTTCGAAACCTATTCATAGCTCGATAATATCAGAGAGTATACCCCATTCGACAAACTCAGAATGGGGGAGAAGTAGACAGAAGGTGAGATAGATAGTTGTCTTCGAGTGTTGTTGGTAGCCTTATGAAATGGTGCTTCAACTAGAATAATGTGGTTTAATCTGTAGGAACATCGAGCATGCGGCAATGGACCAACTAATACAAATGGCTAACAAGTAATGCTAGGTAATTCTCAGATTCCGGGTGCAATTACTGTTTCTACTTGATAACTAAAGCCATTTAGGCTTATTTCGTTTACTAAAACGGACTAAAATCGATAGTTTAGGTACTAAACACGTTAAGTTTTTAACGGTTGGATACTAAAATAAAACAAAAAACTAAACATTATGTATGATTTTGAACAAAATTGAAAGTTTAAATATTAAACATATTAAGTTTGTAATGGTGAGATACTAAAAGGAGACAATAACTATACGTTAAGTATGATTTTGAAAAAAATTGAAAGTTTAGGTACTAAAACAAACCAAAACAAATCTTTTATTTATCAAATGCGTAGTCTATCTTATAATTTAATATCTTAATTAAAATATTCTTACAAATATATTTCACCGTTAAAATTCAAATGAGCTTAATCTTATTAATAATAGTTTATTCTTTAGATATTTTATTAATTTAGTCCCCATTCTACATAATTCAATAAATTTAATTTTTTGTATATTTATAAATTTTATTAATTTAATTATCTTTTACGATACCGTCAAACCAAATGAGTCTATTAAAGTGTTATATAGATGCATAGAGTGGGGTAAGTGATACGAGACAAATATTGAGTTATTTAAAATTGATTTGGTCAAAATTAAATAAATATTCGACTTGAAAAATTTTCGGGCAACTCAAAACATAATATAATAAGATTTTACTTTTAAAAAATTATATTTTTAATAATATTAATATTTATATATTTTTTTTAAAATCATGTATCAAAAGTTCAAGTTCGAGTTTGAATTTGGGCTTCAATCGAGTTAAATTTAATATTTTTTTTTATTTTGAGCTTACAAGCTTTAATTAATGGTTTCGAGTTCGAGTCGAGTTTAAAAATTTTAGGCTCATGATTTTTCAAACCAATTCGAATTTTATTTTTAAGTTTTCGAGTAGAGTCGAGCTAAACAATATTCGAACTAACTCAACCAATTTACAACCCTAAGTGTACAAAGAAAATAAGTTCATACTAAAGATTTTATCAACTTTTTTACTTAATTTATTACACAAAATAATATTTTATTTGAAAAATATTTAACATCATATAAGAATAAAATGGACACTATAATTTAGTGAGTGAATAAATCGTTTACCCTTTTTCCATTAAGAAATTTATTGGGACAAAAATGGTAAAATTGGTCCAATACAGTAAGCGGTTTTATTTAGTCCAATACGATACCATAGATATTATTTTAAGAATTACGACATTTGTTACAGTGATTTAGAACTCGTCATATGAAAATGATGAATTTTAATAAAATATATTTTTTATTTGAACTTATCACTTCGACGTAACAAAATCCAATAAAAAATACTTTTTAAAAAAAACTTGTTAATTCAATGTGACGAGATTGAATAAAAATATTATTTGAGCAAACTCGTCACGTGAACGTAACGGGTTTTTCTTGTACTGTAACATTTACCGTAAATCCCAAATTAATTTTTGAGACAATTTTTTCTACCCGTATGGCCTATTGGGCCAATTTTGCCCTCAAAGTATTAGTGACGGCCCAGATCTCAAAGACCCAAAGTCTAAATTAAGTGAACACTGCACCTTCCTTTGTTGTTTTTCAAGTGCTAATGAAATTCTGGTTCTCTTCACATACGAATTGATCGGACCAAATTATTCAGTTAATAAGAAGAAGAAAAATACACAATACCAATCATCGCGATGGGTTTCAAGATATTTGTGGTGGCGATGATGGTGGGTTTCGTTGCAGCGGCGCAGATTTCAGCGGCATCCACTGTTCCCGCTTTTCTATGGTCTCCGGTGTAAGTTCTTTTGTCTTAATTTCTGATTTCATTGGATCGAATTCGTAAAATTTGAAAGTTTCTAGTTTAGGGTTGTTGTAAATTGGGAATTGGGATCTCGTTTTCTTTCAAATATATATTGATTTGTGCTTTGCAGCTTATCCAACAATGAATTGAAGGAATCTGTAAATTATCAGATCATGTCTCCTAAGGATCTAGCTAACTCTGTTCTCTCTCAAGGGGGTTGGTCTGACTTACTGGTATTTTGAAGTTTCTTTCTCTTCAGTCTTATAGCCATGGTTTTAAATTTGCTGGTTTCCTTAATTAATTGCGATTTTTCTGTTTTGATTTTAGTGCTCTGAGAGGAAAAATGAACGCTCTGTCAATCTCGCCTTTGTTTTTGTTGATAGAGAGGTAATATTCTTCGAATTTCATGTTTTGTGTTCTAAGCTTTCAGTTTTCAGCATCTTTTTGTCATCAATAATCACTGCCTACAACATGGAGAAGTGATATACTAATGATATTAGTGGACCTTTTTTCCCCCTCGATGATGATGTATTTTGCAGAGTGAATTTCTTTACTTCTTTCGGTAGTCAATACTGTAGTCGAATAGATTTGCAACATTATTTTTCATGTAATCTAGAATCTAAATGAGTTGAAAATAGTTAGCATGCTGGATGATGTATAATAGAAACATTATTTGCAACATTATTTTTTGTCACGATCTGGATAGACATACTGTTGTGACCTACTGTTGTGATGTATGATGGTAGTATGCTTTTTATTATTTCCTTGAAGAGGTTGAAGGTACATTTAATTCGCTGTTGCATTGTGATAAATTGCATGCCGTGCTAGCTTCCTTTTTCGCTTGACTTAAAGATGTTACTTAAGGATGTTGGTCTTTTTTGTAGTTGCACTCTTCAGATGTTGCAGGAAGCAAACATGTGGATCCGGCTCTTTTGAACTTGCTTAAGGTGACTAGATTTCACCTGGTTACAATTCTTCTATATATATTCATCAGTTAATGCATTAATTACTTTAGATTCAACGTCTCTGCTTTTTCATAATGATGCGTATCGTTGAACAGGCCTCTTTTACCAGGTCCAACTTCTCATTGGCATTTCCATATGTAGCTACCTCTGAAGAGGAAACAATGGAGAATTTGTTGGTTTCAAGTTTTAAGGAAGCTTGTGGGCATGGTTTGGGAATCAGTAATGTTGCATTTTCAGAATCATGCTCTATAGAGGGTGGCGGTTTCCAGAAACTTGGAAACTTGCATTCGATCCATGTAAGTTAACTTCAATAGTTTTTTTTTAAATAAATAAAATGCATCAATACAAAATGTGGGGCAATTTTCCTTAGATAATGTGGTGGAAAAAAAAGATTTGCTCATATGGCGTGAAGAGGAAATTATTTTCCCAACTAGGGTGGTGTGAATAGTGTATGGGAGAAGACGTCTGGAAAACTTGGCGTCTCTGGGAAGACGCCTGTCTGGGTTGATACATTGATAAGGTTGGCTTTCACCTACATGCAGCATAGGGAAGACGCCAGTGGTTTGAGCATTTTCCCCTCATCTACGATTGATTTCACCCTACTTGGAAAAATAATTTCTGCAACACCCCTACGAACTATTTTTTTCCACAACATTAACCCATCAAAATTACCCAAAATGTGGTAGTATGACAATGATTTTAGCATTTTTTTTATCTCCATCTTATTAAACCCTTTTCACAATTTTCTGATAAAAAACATAAGCAGGATCATCTAGTTTCAAGGATGGAACAGAGAACAAAGGGGGAGACCGATTTGGTTGTTCTATGCCATGGAGGCTTTCAATCTCTGAAAGAACTTGACCAACCATTCCCCGAGAGTATGTGTCTTATTTTGTTGAAGATTCATTTATTCGAAACGTATTCATTTGTTGTTTTTATTTAAATATGCAGGCGAGATTTTGAATGAAGTTATGAGTTCAGTGGAGCAATCCGGGGCTAAATATGCAGCTCTTTATGTTTCTGATCCTTTTAAATCCACCCACTATCCCGGATATAAAGAGCTTGAAAGGTTTCTTGTTGAAGATAATCCCAAGAATGCTTCAGCCAGTGGTCAAATCTGTGATGAGGTTTGCAAGCTAAAATCGTCACTCCTAGAGGGAGTTTTAGTTGTAAGCCTCTGCCCTTGTGCTTCACACTTCTCTCACCTCTAATCTAACAGCAATGTCTTTCTATTAGCGCGAAGTTCGTTTATTTATTGAACGAACATGAACAAGATTTTCTGTTGGTTTAATTAAATGAACGAACATGAAGAAAGGGCTCCTTCGTTCATTTACATTCGTGAACGTTCGGTAATCCGTTTGGTTATGTTCGTTGACGTTCAGTAATCAGCCTGTTTAATTAAATTTATATTAATGTTCGTCTATTTATAGTATTTTAAGAATTTTTGCTTGATTTAAAAGAAAATTATATTTTATGTTCGTTCGTTTATCATTTTAATGAACGAACATGAACAAACTACATTACTTAACAAGTGAACACGAACGAGAAATTATTTTTGTTTAGTTGTTCGTGTTCATTCGGTTAAAGTTAAACGAATGAACATGAAGATATACTTGTTCGTGTTCGTTCGGTTCGTTCATGCCTACTTTCTATTATATGGTTATATATATGGATATACATTATTGTCTTTCAGTGTTAACTAATCCGTTCTTGGATTCGGTATGCTTTTATTTTTATCAGTGCGGTGATATGATTATACGAATTTGAATATGCATTCCGGTCTTTCAATGTTCATAAAAGTGTTGCCGCTGTGACATATATGGGGTTCTAATGTGGCTGCACTACTTGATTTTCAGGGACTCGTGTTGCTTTTAATTTTAGTGTCGGGTCTTTGCTGCATGATGGGCATCGATACGCCAACAAGATTCGAGGCGCCACAAGATAATTGATTGTCTATTTGGTGCAACCGAGCGTCTTTATTTTGCAATAAGGCTTTCGTCCTTAATGATATCTAGGAGTTTGTTCTTTGAAACTGCACAAGACCGTCATCTATGGCCTTAAACAAGCACCACTAGCTGGGTATCGAGAGATAAGTAGTTTTCTGCTTCAATATGATTCAGAACTCAGTTTCATATGTCTGTTTATTCATCCATATGCATTTTATTTCTCAGTTTATTTGAGTGATGTTGCAACTCGTAGGAAATAATAATATGATCTGCAGTCTATTTTTGCAACAATAAACTTAGGTGGCATTTGGTTGGATGGAATCCCTTGGAATTGGGGAAAATTAGAATCCAATTTCACCACTTTCCCATGTTTGGTTCAAGTTTTCCAAGGGAATTGGAATCCCTCATGGCTTCAACTTTCCATCAAATGAGAGAAATTGAATTCCATCCAAGAATGGATGAAATTCAATTCCCTTGTTGGAGGGAATTGAAGTTTGACCATACTACCCTCATCAATCTTTTGGTAACTTATTCATATATTGAATAAAAATATTTTTTTTATTATTTCGGGTCGGGTCGGGTGAAACTTTATTTTGGTCGGGTCGGGTCGGTTTTTTTAAGTGTGATATTCGGGTCGGGTCGAGTTCGTGTTTAGGGTGAAAAATATCCGACCCGAAAATATATATAATTTTACCTTATATATTTATGAATAATTACAATAATATCCCTCTATATATATATTTTTTTCAATTAAGTTATTGTTTTTATTAAATAAAAATATTTTTTATTATTTCGGGTCGGGTCGGATTTTTAATTCATATATTCGGGTCGGGTCGGGTGAAACTTTATTTTGTTCGGGTCGGGTCGGGTTTTTTAAGTGATATTTTGGTCGAGTTGGGTCGGGTTTTTTTAAGTGTGATATTTGGGTCAGGTCGGGTTTTTTTAAGTGTGATATTCGGGTCGGGTTCGGGTTTAGGGTGGAAATAACTGGACCGACCCGAAAAAATATATAATTTTACCTTATATATTTAGGAATAATTACAATAATACTCCTATAATTGTTTTTCAATTAAGTCAATATTTTTATTGAATAAAAATAATTTTTTTTATTATTTTGTGTCGGGTTGGGTCGGGTTTCTAATTCATATATTGAATAAAAATAGTTTTTGGTATATTTTTTGGTAACTAATTAACATACTCTGATTGGAATGTATCGAAATATTGTTCTATCTTTTGGTAACTTATTAACATATTTTGATTGCGATGATTTTAACTTATAATGTTTATTAGCATGATTTTTATAATTTATTGAAATAAATAATCAATCAATAAAATGAAAATTTAATATTTTTTAATTTTTTATAATATATTACAACATGTAAGTTATAAAACAATCTAAAATAAAGCAAAAAAAATAAGAAGGGCAATTCTGTCATTTTATATTACTGAATTAAAATTCATCGGACATGTCTGCGAACCAAATAGAATATGGAATTGGATTCCAATTTCATTTCATGCTAATCAAACAAAATATGGAATTTGATTTCAATTCTTGATAGATTCCAATTCCTTTACAGATTCTAATTCCTTCACAGATTTCAATTCCCTCATAAACATTACAGCGAACCAAACTCCACCTTATATGCTAGTCTTGAAATATCTTGGCTCTTTGAATTATTCGATCTGTGTTGGGTAATCAAAAACTTTACAAGGGTTGCTTCTTTTATAAACGTTTGTAGTTATAATATCGGAACAAAAACGATGCATCGACTGATATGTTATTGGCTGGTTTAGGTTAGGGATGGGTCGGGTTAGGTCATATTTTTGGCACACTTGAATCCGACATGAGTATTACACCCTGTCACCTGTCATCCAACTTGGTTTATGGATGGTTTATGGAGGCTTCACCTGATATGATTTTTAGGGTAAAAACTTGTATTCGATCTGACACTATATATATTCGCAATTTCCATTTTTATTAGATAAAATAGGATTTAATGGGATATTATTACAATTATTCTTTAAATAGATAAGGTATAATTATAATATTATCTTGGGTAGGGTTGAGAATTTTTAACTTTAATCCAAATTTGGCCTATTCTCACATTTTAAAAAGATTGAACCGAACTTATTTTTTCTTAAAATAAATCATCCCTTATAAGATCGGATTGAAATCCATCGAATTCGGGTCAAATTCCCTTAGAGCTTAAAAGGGTTGTTTCTTTTAACAATCATATTTTTTTAATTGTCTAAGAGTGTAGAGTCCTCAAATTTTCAGACAAAAAATTAATTAAATCAAAGTTTTCACCCATCCGAAATCTTAAATCGAGAAATTAAATCAATTAAGTTATTGAATTAAAAAATTAAATTAATTAATACATTTGATCGGTTTTGACGGTTCAATATATATATGATCATTATGTGATACAATGTGTTTATGATTCTTTCATGTGAATTTTATTGATTTTCATAAAAAAATTAAAAAAGGTTAATAAATTTCTAGAAATTTCAGTCGACGATATCTGCAATATCTTCATTCAAATCTAACTAGAGAAAACACATTCAGTATAAATATGATCGTTGGATTCATTTTCAGAGCCACAAAGATAACAACTTGGGTCAATCCGACTCCCCAAGATAACATACGAACTTTTGTTGACAAGCGATCCAGGAGCGCAGAGAAGTTTTACAGTACGACACCTTAATATACAACTAAAAAAAACGTTATTAGTTTTTTTTATTATTTAAATAATAAAATCGGTAAAAATTATCTAAAATATTATTATTTCTACCTAAAACATCAATGTTTTATAGTTAAAAAATTCAACCCAACCTCGATTAAAAAAAAATCCAATCCCATCATATTATATCGGATTGAAATCCATCAAATTCTGGTTAAATTCTCATCCCTAATTATGAATGATGCTTGTTAGATCCCACGTCAAAAAGGAAAGATAATATTAGGTTGTATTTAAGTCGGAACCAAATATAAGTAGGGCACGACCTTACTTGAACAGAATCTGTTTTATAGGCTCGTACCTCTGTATCCTAAGTTCTAAGGAGACAGGATTCCAAGTCTGGTTGATGAACCGAGACTGTGTGATCAGAGCGTGATTATTAATCCAGGAGTCTAAGCGATGTGGCTTCTTCGATCGCAGAGGATCGTTCACGGTCTGCCTCGTCTGGCCGGAGTGGTCACGCAGTTGTCTGACAGACTTCACCTCTTTTTCTCTCTTTTTTTTTGTCCTTAAATAATCCAAGATTCTACAACTCCTGCTTCTCATTGTCTCTTCGTAGTCTGTTTCTTCATGGAGGTGATGGAGAAAGCCTGGAATTCGGAAAGGTAAGTTAATCACTTAATTGCAGTAAACTATAACTGAATTCCATGAATTTGGAATTGGATGCGCCTTGCGTGTAGATTTCACTTTGAATTAGCTTTTATGATCTTTTTGATGAATTTCGATATTTCTCGTGATTCGCCAATGAACGCGTTTATGTTTATATAGATTCTCTGTTTCTGTACCTCACCTTGATTTCTGCATGCTTTAGTGATTGTATTCTACTGATAAAGCGACGATTTGATCGATAAAGCCGGAGCTCGTGTTTTCACCCGTCATGAAGAGGTGTGCTAGTATTACAATCTAATCTAACCTTTATTTCACAAGTTTGTTTCATGGCGCAATTGTTGTTGCAGATCCTTGATGTGGTTAAGAGCTTAGAAGAGAGCTTAGCCAGGTCATAAAGGCAAAGAAGGAAGCAGGCCGCAGCGGGACTTAGAGAAGGTACGAAACTTCACGAGATCATCGGAAAAGATCATTTTACGAAGCTTCATCTTTTTCGGCTAACTGGTGTAGGAAAGTCCGAATTAGCGAAGGCACTAGCGACCTACTTTTTTGGCTCCAAAGAAGCTGTAATCAATCCACTTAGGGGCTCTAAATTCAATTTATTTGAAACACGTAGCATTAGAGTTTCATAAGTTAACTTTTGTAAAGACAATTTTAGTTGAAGATTCATGGGTAAAGGCATATATTGTAAAACACACATGAACATTATCCCATGACCCTCAAAACACAAATCTATCCAAACATGATCAACATTAGATGATTTCATGGTTGTAAATTAATTTACTAAACAGACGAGCTGCGAAACTAAAACCTGTTGCCGGATTGGGAAGGATGTCGTTGGATATAGGAACGGATGTCGCCGGAGAGAGTGATAGATGGAGATGGAATGAGTTGCGATTTAGGGATTTAGTTTATGTTTCAGTGTTATATACCCAAATTTCAGTTGTGATTTACAGATTCTCGTTGCGATTTACGGATTATCGTTGCGATTTACAGATTCTCGTGCGATTTACGGATTATCGTTGCGATTTACAGATTCTCGTTGCGATTTACGGATTATCGTTGCGATTTACGGATACGCGTTGCGATATACGGATACGCATTGCGATTTACGGATAGCGTTGCGATATACGGATACGCGTTGCGATATACGGATACACGTTGCGATTTATGTTCGCGTTGCGATTTTCATATTCGCGTTGCGATTTTGAAAACTGATTTGCGATTCTGGGGATCGCGTTGCGATTTTATTTCGCGTTGCGATTTTGTTGGTCATTTTGGCAAATCCAAAAAAATTGGTTAAAATTAATTAGGCCAGGTCATCTTTTTAACACGTGGCAACATGATAAACAAGTAGTAGTACAAAGTACACGAGCCACATTGCTTAGACTATAATACAAATTCCAAAAAATATGTAAACACTAATATTTAATTGCACATCATTATATCATAAAATATACACGTCAGTGCCACGTGTATGCACCATGGCATATTTAACAGAAGCCGGTAAAAGGTGTTAACAATTGTATTTACAATACAAATACACTAGATTAGGACTAAATTGCAACTTTTCAAAATATTACAAGGACTTGATACATGCTTAACACATCCTAATATAGCACATTTAACTGGAGCATCAAAAAGGAAAAGATGAGAGATAAAATTCAAGGGAAGAGAGAACAAACTCCATTTTTTTCAACAGACAACTGCCGCCATTGATACAGATTTCATGATACAGTCCTTCCATAGCATAGGCAAGCAAGGTAGAGATTTTTTGCCCATTTTTCCTACACAACATGATAACAAAGCTCACATGAAACAACATACATTCATAATATTTGATATGTTGATATAGATTGCAGATCATCAACTCTATAGTGATCATATTACCTAACATTTGTGCTGGGAAATTGCGACGTGCGTAAGTTTCTTGAGTTTCATCGCCAGGTTTGCGCTTAGGGATGCTCAAGATCAGCGCAGCCTGATCCGAAGTCGCAGCTGTTGATGTGATTCTATAACCGTTCTCCCAACGCCTGTGGATTCCCTCACTTGGATAGAGAAAATCGAGTTCTACGACCTACAAAATTAGTCGACAATATTTAATAAGAAAGCGAATGCAGATGAGATATGACGGACAGAATTCATACTCAACAAGACATTCAGGCATTACTGTTGTGAACACATGACTAAAATAAATCAAGAGCTTTTTAACGTTTTACATCTAATAAACTTTTATGATTAGAGTTAGGTTCCACTCGAATTACTTACTAGTAGTTGTGGTTAGTTAGCCTAAATCCTTGTGTTTTTTATTTTTGACCCGTCGATATCATATTGACTTCAAATTTAACATGAATTCAAATATTTGTAGTGCAACTGCTGAGGTCAAACCTGATCACTGAAACCTGCATTGCGAGACATAACAACACCCCATCTGCTTCCAGCAGTCGCCATTGAGGTGACAGAAAAGCCCTCTCTCCATTTTTGTTTATCCACTTAAAGGGGAAAGAATCGCTTACTTTATATGATTGTTGAGTGTATTGGGTGCCTACAAAGGGTTACCATGAATTAGAAATCTTGAGCCACAATAAGCAAATAAAAAACAGAACAAAGATGTTTGCTCAGATCGTATAAATCCTCTAAAAGTACAAATTTTGATAGAAATGAAAATGATTGTCTACATTCTAGGTTGATGTACCATTCAGGTTCTGTAAAAAAGGTTTAGAACTAAATTGGTACATCATAATCTAAAATGCAGACCTTCGATTTTGCCTTATCCATCAAAACCAGAATTTCATCAGACAATTTAGACAAAACAGAATATCAACTGACCTTTGGACATAATGACGAGGGAGCTTCCACTGTTAGAACCAGCAATAGAACTAATGTAATAGTTCTTCTCCCACTGATCCATGATCCACTCCTGCATAAGTGGAAGAATAAGTCATTCCTTACATAAACACTTCAGTTGTAATAGGAAAAATATTGCAACCATAACAATATGCGATAAGTCACCTTGTGTAAGAAGGAAGGTGAAAGCTCATAAGTTTGGCTAGTGAAACCAGTTCCAGCATCCATGATTAGTGCCCAAAGATTGGTACAAGATGCCACACAGCTTATTAACAGCCCATCTGCCATTCCTTTCTCCACATGTTGGGCCAGCCTTGCATCAGCCACATTGTAATGATACCTAATTGTATGATAACCAAACAGTTGAATCAAAACATCAAACAAGGAAAACAGGTATATATGAACAGATTTTCTCCTAATGGTGTACATGCAGACAATACTGCAAAATACCTCTGCTTCATTGGAAGTCTTGCATTGTAGATTGAAATCCACTGTGTAGCAGGAACACCAAGACGAACCTTCTTCTTGGGTTGATCATCCTCTTCGTCAATGTTCAACCTACCTCGCTTTGGCCTACCTGATAAATAATCTACCAAACATTCATGAATCATGATTATTGTTTTTCTAGCATATTTATACCATAAAATTATTGGAGTTCTATTTATAATCATTAGTTGATTATATAAATAAAAAGTATCACGTGCAGTATTCTTGACAACAAAAACTAGTACACAATAGTACCTTTTGAGCACCATCTGTGTTTATTGGCCTTATAGCTGGATTTGGTCCTATCAACACCTCAAATAGCGATATTAGTTTGGAGTAATTGGGTTCCTCGTCAAATTTCATATTCACCACAATCTCAAGAAACTGCTTTAGTGATGGAGGGCAGAAGCAGCAAAGCATTTCAGGTGATGTAGCCATTTTCTTTTTGCAGACCAAGAATGATTTGTTGTCACCCTTAATTTGAAAGTAGAAGAAAGAATGAGCAAACAAAATAGACGATGAAAGCTAAAACAAGTCTCTGATAAGCAATTCACTGTGATAATTAATTATATCAGCCATACCTGACACCCCTGCCATGGTAACCGGCCTCGATGTAGAAATACGAGCGTATATGCAAGTGACTCAAGATCATCCCTTCTACTAGCAGTTCTTCCCAAATGCGCATGAACACTTGCATACCGAACAGTTCCTCTTATGAACAGTAAATTACAGAACACAGCAATATCAGCAAAAGAGTTTATCAGAAACAATTCTCCAACTAGACAAACATTATACAAACCTAAACATATCAGGACGTTGATCATAATCAACATGCAGTCCACTGCTGCTATCTTTCCACTTTGTTGCTGCAATGTCATGGTGTTGATCAAACATAAGAAAAGAACCTCAAATCAAAACATAAAGAGATACTGCAGGGACAAAATAAATGACTTGCCTAAACCAAGATCAACAAGAAACAACTTCTTCTCTTGTGGCGTAGATGGTTGACCGAGTAAAAAGTTCTCAGGTTTAACATCCCCATGCACATAACTGTATTACATAAGATCAACATTCAGATCAAAAGATAGTAGATACAAGACAAAAGTGTTGAAAACTAGATGAAACCGATATTATAGATTTATAGAGCTTTCATGGAAAGCAGCATTCATACCCTTTGGAGTGCATCTTTTCTAGTATTGATAGGGACTCTACTGCTATACAAGCTACCATTTCTGCAGACATCCTGCACATGAAATTGAGAACAAAAAATTATATCCAAGATTAGTGGGCTTATTCCATGTTAGAGTCCACTTATCCCATTGCTTATGCAAAGGATTGCAAGGCATAAATATTCCATAACGAAGTGATAAATTTGGTGAAAAACTTGCATACATTTTCTTAAGAAGACGATAAAAAGGGAGTACTTTTGTTTCTTTGAATTGTGTCTGATGGAAGAAACTGAGAACAATTGATATTCTGTCTGACATGAGTGGGAAATCTGGAAGCAGGTGTGTGTTCGACATAATTACATTCATTTTCC